TATGATAAATATAGTAGTGGTTATTGAATCTAGAATATTCTATTTCAAACATAGAGTGGAGAAAAGGGAGTCTAATGATTAATAAGATTGTGCAATTTCCATTGTCTTTGAAAGTTTTTTTTCCCCTGAAGAATTGTACAAACAAGCATACAAATACAAATATGCACATACACTAGTTTGCAAAAACGTGGTTGCAGCAGTTCTTATTTAGCTTGAAAGTTATCCTTGGAACACTCTACCATAGTGTTATACCAGATGACCCCCACCCACCTTTCTTTGCTTGACAGCTTTCTCTTTCCACTGAGCCTATTTTGCCATTCTTGGCTGGAAGGATATGTAGGGGGTGAAGTGTGGCTCTTTCCCAGCAGCTCTACACCTTCAGCTCCCTTAACCCTTGAGTGGGATAATTCTGAGGTGTATGTCCTACACTGGCTGCCAGAGTCTCTCCAGTGAAAAGAAGCTCCAGTCTCTTACAATGGCAGCTAGCTTTATTAGTTCCCCTGTCTTATTTCTAAACTCTCCTACTGATGAGTCCTTCACCTCCAAAATAAATGACTTTCACTCATATTCTTATTTCAGGGGTAGCTTCTGCATCTGTAAGAATCCAAACTAAAACAAGCTAAACTTCCTACTTTTTACCAAGTAACTCTGGAATAGTTATAATTTCAACTCAATCCTTAGATTCACATTACAAATCATTTTTCTTGTACCTACTTCTTTTTTTGTGGTTTGCTATTCAAATACTTTTATAATGATCTACACACATAACCAATGAGCTAAAAATGTAGGTATCAAATATAGGCTTATGTTTATGTTAAAATTACAGCAGCCTACATTAGATATTAAATTCACCATTGATGTTGTCAGTTAAACTGCATATTAATCATTGTGATGCCATCCTTCTAATGTTTTGAAAGAAGTCTCCAAAATAGTACGACAAGTTTCTGCCTGGGACTTATAAAACTCTGTTGATAGCTGTCCATCAATCTGTTAATCTTCTAGCATCTATCCACAAGTAGAAAAGTCACAGTCAAAATATTTTCCTTATTTTTTTTTTTAACTTTTAAAAAGAACAGATTTTTCTGAATCTGTTGGTTACCAAATCCATCAACCATCTAGGAAAATGACTCCTTTCATGGCTCAATCAGAGCCTTATCTAAAATTCAGCAAAAATCTAAGACTTCAGGCTGCCCTCTCCACTCTTGTTTCCATGGGAATATATGTCAGATCAAGAAAAAAAAAATCGATGGGGTTAGGAGCTTTCAAATAATCATTCAAAATCATGATGAGGATTTTAGAGCTTTTTTCTTAGGTGTCATTATTTTGTAGCCTCTTAACCCCCTTTTGCCAGTCTGTTTCCATGGAAATATGACAAAAATGGCTGTTCAAGCCTCCAGCAGAGATTATTAGCATTCTTGTGAATTTCAGCTTTGGCTGTAGTCTTGGCTGGACAAGATTTTTTTCTACCAGTTTTACAAATTAACCTATACTGTTTCTACTCATTGTAATTTTCCTTTATAACTTCCACTTTTTAAAAAATTTCCCTTCACAAATTTATAGCTATGATCAAGATCAAATTGAATAATTGGCACATCACTGAAAAAGGCTTCAGTTTTAAATTGTAACATATGATCCAGGACATGTAGTTGTGGCGTGTCAGAATCTTCAGAGAACTGAAGAAAGAAACAATATTTAGTTCTTGGCCTCATTGTTATATAGATGCTGGTAGATATGCAACAAGGTGATATTTAAAATATTTAGCAACTGGTAAGGCATGAAACCAACCAATCTGAAAAGCTGGTTTGTACCAGCTGATTATCAACCTACTATATGAGAACCAATAATAAGTTAAGCTGAAAGCAGTTTTATATAAAGTAGTTAGCATTATACACAAATAAATTATTCAAGGTCAAAGACAGCTCCTGTAAAACTTGTAAAGGAGCTTACAAGAGAAACTGGATAGAGATATGTAGCAATCTATCTTTTTAAAAAAATCAAAGTGCATATGCTTGCATCATCTTTTATATGAAGGTCATTTGAAAATACAAATCATTCTTATTACTCAAGACATTATGCTAAAAGATAGAGAAAGAACATATATGGTCTTTGATAGAACCCCTGGCAAGATGTCTTGTATTGAATGTGAAAAAATAACAGCATGATACATATATAATTTTATTCAATCCTACTCTCTGAAATTTGCTGAACAGTTCAAATCTACAATTTTTGCTAGGGGAAATCTTAAAGTTCTGATTGACCTTATAAAGTACTTTTTTTATTCTTTAGAGGTCTGTTATTATTCTATAGTTCGAGTTTTTTAACCCATAGAGTCTTTTCTTCTGAATTTGAATTGAAAAAATAAATGTCAAGTGGTAATTACCTGACTCAGGTAGGTTATTAATTTAAATTTAACAGAGACTAACTTGCTATAGAAACTAATCTTGATTGGTGTTTTCAGCTAAATAGATCATAACCATAATAAAATAAAGCAGTATGGTTATTTTTTCAAATGATCAATTTTAGCCCCTGCTTTCCCCTTAGGCAACATCTGGCCTGAAGCTTATTTGTGTAAATAAAAAGTTTTATTGGAACACAGTCACACCCATTTGCATTAGTTTTTGTTGTTTGGTTTCGCTTTAATTATCTATGGCTGCTTTCCCACCAAAAAGGGCAGAGTTGAGTTGCTGCCACCGAGAACACATAGCATATAAAAGCCTGACTATAATCCAGCCTTATAAAAAAAAGTTTACTGATTCCCTACCCAAGCTGGCTTCCTGAACTGAAAGTCCAGACCTGCCATTTTCTAACTTTGTAACCTTGGGGTAACCTTGGGTTAACCCCAGGTTCTTGGTCTGTCATATTTTGAGGAATAAATAAGTTATTATTTGTGAGTTATTTGTAACAGTGTTTGGCACTTAGTAAATGCTTTGTAAATATTAGTGACTTATTACCACCACCACATAGTCTTTCTAATATTGTTCAGTGCAACTAATTTTAAGAAATATACTCATGAGTTTTGGTTATTTAATACAATTGACTATTTTTGGTTGCTAAATATCTTTTCAGTTGAAATTATGTATTGCTCTCACTTGAGAGCTATTTGGTTATATTTAACAAG